AAAGTAAAAACTCACATCTGGGACATAGAAGACAAAAAGATAATACAACAAACCAATGAAACAAAAAGCTGGTTCTTTGAAAGAATAAACAAGATTGATAGTCCCCTAGCTAGGCTGACCTAGAATAAGAGAGAAAAAGCCTAAATAAACACAATTAGAAACACAAAAGATCAAGTCATATCTGACCCTGAAGAAATACAAAAGATTATCAGACTACTATGTACACTTGTATGGAAACAAACTTGAAAACCTAGAGGAAATGGAGGATTTTCTGACATCACACAACCTTCCTTGGTTGAAACAAGAAGAGCTTGAGACCCTAAATAGCCCAATACCAATCCAGGAAATTGACTATGTCATAAGAAAATGACCTACTAAAAAAAAAAGTCCTGGACCAGTTGCTTTCCAGCAGAATTTTACAAACCAAACAAGGAGGAACTGATACCAATCCTATTGAAAGTATTCCAGATGATTGAGAAAGATGTAACTCTCCCCAAAACATTTTATCAAGCTAATATCACATTGATACCCAAGCCAGGTAAATGCCCAACAAAGAAAGAGAACTACAGGCCAAAATCCTTGATGAACATTAGATGCTAAAATTCTCAACAAGATCCTAGCAAACCAGATTCAAAAACATCTGAAAAAGCATCCACCATGACCTAGTGGGCTTCATCCCTGGGTTGCAAGGCTGGTTCAACATTTGTAAGACCATAACATGATTAAATACATCAACAGATGTAAAAACAAAAACCACATGATTATATCATTGGATGCAGAAGAAGTTTTTGATAAAGTCCAGCACCTCTTTTAAATAAAAACCCTCAAATATCTAGGCATAGACAGAGGGATAGACACATAACATCAGTATGGGTACCTGATCTCATACTAGACAAATTAGGGACCAAAGGAAAGCCCAAACTTTGTCTATATGATGTCCACTTGTATACCTAATCTGGAATTATACCCTACATTTACAATAAAAAAAGACCTGTGGATATCATACTTTCATGTGTTTTTATGATGATGTATAACAATCTTTCTCTTTTTCTTAGAACTCCTTTGAGCATATCTTGTAGGACTGATCTAACAGTGATGAATTCCTTTGGTGTTAGCTTGTCTGAGAAAGATTTCATTTCTTCTTCATTCATAATGCTTGGCTAAGTAGGAATTAAAATTTATGGTTGGCAATTTTTTCTTTTAGACACCTAAAATTAGGACCACACTCTTTTTTTGGCTTGTAAAGTCCACTGTTAGTCTGTGATTTTATACTCGATTACACACTTTTCTTTTGCTGATCTTATAATTTCTCCTTCATGTTGATTTTAGCTGGCCTATATTACCTAAACTACATTATTTGTTGAGGTTCATCTTGCGATATGTGTTTTTGAGGTTCTCTGAACATGTATCAAGATGTCTAAATCTCTAGCAAGATTAAGGAAGTTTCCATCATTATTTTTTCAACTACATTTTAAAAACTTTTTACTCTTTCTTCTCCCTCAGGAATATCTATGACTAATATTTTGGTTCTCACGCTTGGTAGGTACACCACCTGTTGGCATGCAGTCAATCCTAATAGCACAAGAATTTACATCATATAGTGGACCTACACCAACCTCTCATATGAGCAGCTATGTCTGTATCCAGAGCAGTGAGTGAGGGGAAGAGAAGTATCCCTCCCCATGTCTATGCTCTATCAAATACCAAGTTCCTCAGGTTCTTAGCTGATCTCTGCTAGCCTCTTACTGTCTTCATTTTTGTGTCCTTGGCTTGCCCAGCTTTGATAATGACACATTTGTAGGAGAGTGGAAGAATTCATATAGATCAGGCGAACAAGAGACTTACATATGTCCAGGGCATTACCAATTGGTTGGAGCTAATTCTGTAACATGTATTAAGAGCAAATGGATGAGAAGGCCCACCAGCAGAGGTACTTTGGTGAATTTTAAAATTTATTTATTAAAGTGTCTTAGGTTAAAAATAATATATATAAAATGTATATTTATATATAATAATATAGATATAGTCTCTAGCATCATTTAAACATGGATATAAATTAATTTTTGTGGCAGGACAAAGTAGTTTTATGTCTAAATATAAAAAAGATGAAATTGAGCACCTAATTGTTTATCTTTAACTCAGTATTTTTCAGTGTGGTCTCTGGATCAACATCATCATCATCATCATCATCATCTTTTGGGAAATTTAGAAATTCAAATGAACATTTCTGAGCTCATTCTAGACATAATGGATAGGAAACTCTAGAGATGAGACTCTGAAACTATTGTACCAACCCCTGTAGGGGATTCATGTATAATCACTGTGAGAGGCATTGTTATAGCCTATTAGTACTAAAAAAAGCACAAAACTCTCTGATGAAGTGCATATGGTTCAGCATAGTATTTTTAAACCTTAGCACTTGAATTATTAATCATTAATTTTATAAATACACTTATTTTTCTGATATTTTCTCACTAATATTTTATGATATTTGAATCCTTTGATTGATCATCTTCCTCTTCTTTTAACTAGAGTATATTTCAAAGTGTCATTACAATAGACAAGATACTTGCAAACTAAAATCTGATACAATAATATATTTATTCTGATTTTTTTTGCATTTTATGAATTTATAGAATGTGTAATATTTATTCTACTAAAACTCAAAGAGAAATATCCAGGAAAACTGTAATTTTCATTGGCTTCCAAAAGGAAAAAAAAGGCAATCAACGTTCTAGTAAAGAATGGAGAAGAGACTTTAAAATAAGGAAGCTTATACCTTACAAAAAATATTGTTTCATCTTCTTTTTCTCAATAGTACATGCAAATTTACAGAAATCAACAAAAAAATTTATAATAGTTTGTTTACCTATTGATTTTAAATCCCTCTTGAAATGTGTTTGCATTCCTATTTGTGAAGTGCTACTCAAGATAATTACTAGCTGGAAATATTTTTCTGATATTTTCTCACATCTTTAATTTGCAATTCTTTGATTGATCATCTTCCTCATCTTTTAACTAGGATATATTTCAAAGTGTGTTCATTCTTGACTCATTCTTCAAGAAATGCCTTGTATTTATTTTTAAGAAACTAACATTACAATAAGCTGGATGCTTGCAACCCAAAATCTGATGCCATATAATATATTTATTCTGACGTTTTTGCATTTTATGGATTTATAGAACTTGTAATATTTTTTATCAATATTTTTTATTATGATATTGTGGGGTACAGTTAAGGGTTAGGTATACAAATATGCTTTGTTCAGGCACCCTTGTTGATAAGAAGTGTCTCTCCATCCCCAGACAGATATTTACTACCATTAATCCCATCTCCCTTTCCCTCCCCCCCATAGTTTCCTACCACTGTCAGTCATTTTCTTATAGTATTACATTGGATGTTCAAGGTCTACTATATGAGAGAGAACATGTGATACTCAGATCTTTGTTTCTGTGAGAGATCACTCAGTATTATAGACTCTAGTTCCATCCAGGTTGCTGCAAAATTCATGATTTTGTTCTTTTTTATGGCTGCGCAGTATTCCTTCGTGTATATGTACCACATTTTTAAAATCTAGTCCTCTTTTGATAGACAGCATGGTTGCTTTCAGGTTCTTGCTATTGTGAACAATGCTGCGATAAACATACGTGTGCAGATATCCTTTTTATAGAGTAATTTGAGTTCTTCAGGGTATATTCCCAGTAGGGGGATGGCAGGGTCATATGGGAGGTCAATATTTAGAGCTTTAGGAATCACCATACTGTTTTCCACAGAGGTTGCACTAGTTTGCACTCTCACCAACAGTGTAGAAGTGTTCCCTTTTCACCACACCCTCTCCAGCAACTGTTATTTTTTGAGTTATTGATAACTGCCTTTCTGACTGGAGTTAGGTGGTATCTCAGAGTGGTTTTGATTTGCATCTCCTTGATGATTAGTGAGGCTGAACATTTTTTCATGTGTCTGTTGGCTGCTCGGATGTCTTCCTTTGAGAAGTGTCTGGTCATATCTTTTGCCCACTTTATAATGGGGTTTGTTTTTTTTCTTTTCAGCATGTTTGAGTTCCTTGTAGATCCAAGATGTTAAGCCTTTGTCAGACCTGGAGTTGGCAAATACTTTTTCTCAATCTGTTGGCTGTCTCCCTGCTCTCTTGATGGTTTCTTTGGCTTTGCAGAAACTTGTCCATTTAATGAGGTCCCACTTGTCTATCTTATATCTTATGACCTGTGGGTTTTGGGTTTTGTTCAGGAATTGGATGGCAGTTTCAATATCCATGAGGGTATGCCCTTCAGATTCTAAGGTTCTTATAGTTTGAGGTTTTACATTTAGGTCTCTGATTCATTTGGAGTTAATTTTTGTGTAAGGGGATAGATAGGGGTCCTGTTTCAATCTTCTGCATGTGGTCAGCCAGTTTTCCCAGCACCATTTACTGAATAGGCTCTCCTCTCCCCAGTGGTAGGTGGTGGAGTCTTTGTCGAAGATGAGTTGGTTGAGAAATTGAGGTTTTGCTACTGGAATCTCAGTTCTATTCCATTGATTTATATGCCTGTTCCTGTACCAATACCAAGCTGTTTTGATTATTGTAGCTTTATAGAACTTGTAATATTTATTCTACTAAAATTCAAAAAGAAATATCCAGGACCAGGAAAACTTTAATTTTCATTTGCTTCCAAAAGGAAAACAAAAAAACAAAAAAAGCAATCAGTGTTCTAGTAAAGGATGGAGAAGAGACTTTAAAATGAGGAAGGCTATATGTTACAAAAAATATTGTTTTATCTTCTTTTCCTCAATAGTACATACAAATTTACTGAATCTATTATAAAAACTTTTATGATAGATTACCTATTGATTTTAAATCTCTCTTGAAAGATATTTGCAAACCTATTGTGAAGTGCTACTCAAAATGAATACTAGGTAGAAATACTTTTTTCTTTCTTTCTGTTAAGATGTTTCCTGTGTGAATCCACCCATAGTGGAAAATGCTAATATAATATCAAGACAGATGACTAAGTATCCACATGGTGAAAGAGTACGCTATGAGTGTGTCAAACCTTATGACATGTTTGGGAAGGTAGAAGTGATGTGTCTAAATGGAAACTGGACAGAACCACCTCAATGTCAAGGTAGAGTTTTATATTTCCTTTACATTTTTTGAGGATATTATAGAGGTAATATATGTTGATGTAAACGAAATGAAGTAATTCTTATAGAGGGTATTTATCAAATTCAAATAAAATGATGGTGTTTAAAATGTAATCTTGTGTGTGTGTAAACAAAGCCAATTGGGTATATTACTTTCAAGAAAGATTTGGTAGGATTAAAGGAAAAACCAGAATCTGAAAAGAAATTCTTAAGCATTAAGACACTTAGTTCCCCCCCCCGGGGAATAAATGCATAAAAGATACACTATATACATTTGACAGTCCTTAGAGATATTCACTTTAAGATGTAGAGCAGGCAGTTGGAGAGAAATAATAGAATGTGATATAAATTTAGGCATCTTTAGCATATAAATTATATTTAAAAGTATGTGACTGAACTCATCAGGGAACCACTATATATTTTTTAAAAGGGTGAGCACACACTCATTCTAATATACAGAGTTGAGGAAATAAGGAAAAACAAGAAAATATATTATTCACCTCCATTTTTGTCTGGTGATTTTTTTCATTCTTTTATTTTGAATCTACCTATATTTTTATGGTGAACTGCATTTTATGTACACAGCATATAGTTGGGTCTGTTTTACATATCTATTCTGCCATTTTTATTTTCTAACTGGCATACTTAAGACAATTTACATTTAAGGACATTTTTGCTTTTAGGACTTACCTGTGAGGAATGCTTTTAAAGAAATTTATTTTGATTCATTTTTATTTTTTGAATATACTCTCTGTTTATGTTTTTTCTCCCCTTTTAAAAGTTATTGTTTTTCTAGCCTGTCTCTTTCATGCTCTCTCTCTCTCTCTCTCTCTCTCTCTCTCTCTCTCTCTCTGTCTTTCTCTCTTCGTTTATATTTTTTGAGTATACTCTCTGTGTAGGTATCTTTTTTCCTTTTAAAAAATAGTTTCCCTAGCCCCCCCGCCCCAGTGTGTATGTGTCATATATATTATACATCAAATATAATTGAAAAAAAATAGTGAAAAAATAGTCTATTATATTTACCCCACTTTTTATCAACTGCATGGTTCTTTTTTACCTTCTAAAGTCTCAGTTTTCTAATATCTGTTTATTTTAATTTGAAGAAATTTTTTTTTAAGTTATTCTTTAAGGATCAATGTATTGGAGACAAATTTTCCTGGTTACTCTTTGTCTGGGAATGTCTTCACATACTCCTTATTTCCAGAGGACAGTGTCACTGGATATAGAATTTGGAATGACAGTTTTTTTGTTGTTGTTTTGTTTTTTCATTGAAAAATGTGCCATTTTCTTGTGGGCTTCATGGTCATAAATGAGTAATCCCCTGCCATTTGATTCTTTGATCCCTTAATGGAAAGGGATATTTTCTAACTGCTTTCGAAAAACTGCTTTTCTTTTTATTTAAGTATTTTTATTCTATGTATATTGCCATGAATTTCAGTGAACTTATCCCATTTGGATTTCGCTCAGCTTCTTATATAAGTAAGTTAATTCCTTATGCCTAATTTGGGAAATTTTCAGCCATTATTATTGATTTCAGTCCAATACCCTTTTAGGGATCTCCATTTTCTTCTTTTTTTGTTTTTTTGTTTGTTCTTCTTCTAATGGTCTCTGATGCTCAGTTAAATTTCTTGTTTTTAGTTTATTTTCATACTGGGTAATGTATTTTTCTGTCTTAAAGTCGATAAATGTGTCCTTCTATCATCTCCCAATTTATTATATCTAGTGAGCTTTTAAAAATTCTATTATAGTTTTCAGTTTCATAATTTTTATTGGGTTTTAAAAAGCTGTTGTCAATTTTAAAATCTATGTCATCTTGATGTTGTCTTTCGTTGATTGTCTTTGATTTTCAGAGAGCTTCCTGGTCCTTAATATAATGAATGATTTTTAATTTTATTCTGAATATTTGGGGTATTATATTTTGAGATCTTGGACTTGATTTAAATCTTTAGTTTAGCAGATTTCATTACTGCCATGTGGGTGTAAGACTCCAGTTTTCCTGCTTGGCCTCCAGAAATATCACAGGGAAATGGAGAGCTATCTTGTTATTCCAAAATGTGGGTAGAAGCCTAAGTGCCTTACCTGACTTGTGTGTATCAGGAGAATGAAGAGTACTCATTTTTTAAGATGATGTTTTCTTACAGTAGGTGAGATACTGTTTGTTTTAAAAAAAAGATTTTGGTCTGGTTAGGCTTCTCTTAGCCTAGACATTTGAGTATAGCAAGTGGGCTCCACTTGGGATTTTCTTTCTTTTAACTGAATCTTATATCTATTCTGAGTTGCAATTCTCTCCAGTGTTTCTATTCAGAGAACACAAGTGACCAAAAGATAATCCAAAGAACATACCTTTGAGTCATTCTGTGAGTCCTGCCTTTACTAGTCAGATAAACTTCTTTACATCTTTCAGAGTCTTCTCATATTTATTGGTCTTATGTCAAATGTTTTGAGATTTGTTTGACAAAAGGAATAGGTAGAAAAATTTGTTCCTCATTGTGTCAACAATTTTCTTTTACATTTTATACATTTGAATAGAATATTTTAAAGTTATTTTTCTTTTGTAATGTAAATGAAAATTAAGAAAAATAACTAGAACCCCAATAAACTTCACAGTTGTATCTAAAAATAAATTTTTTTAAAAAACTTACTCTGTCATAGCTGTCTGTTCAGTCTATTTTTATTAAGAAAGACATTTCTTAATCCTAGAATACTACAAAGCAGACATATTTTTAATGTTTCATACATATCTTAAGTGAGGAGAAAAGAAGAGTTTGCAAATGAAATTCTCAGCCTAAATGATTAAAATTTATTTCAGGAATCATTTCTTCATCAGAAGTCACAAGTGTTAATAGTATATAATGTACTGTATTTGTCATATTTGCTTTATTTTAACCTGTATAATAATTTGGTCTTTCAATACATCAAATAATGCTTTTTTAGATTCTGAAGGAAAATGCGGAACCCCTCCACCTATTCACAATGGAGACATTACTTCATTCCCTTTAGTGGTATATGCCCCATATTCATCAGTTGCATATCAATGCCAGAACTTATATCAACTTGAGGGTAACAGGCAAATAACATGTATAAATGGAAAATGGTCAGAACCACCAAAATGTTTAGGTAAGTACTTTGAAAAAAAAATCAGCATAATGAGTATAATATTTTCTGTTTATCTTATAATTTTTCCTGATTAACAAACAACCATTCTGCTTTATGCTTGTCTACCAAATATTTGTATGTGCGAATGTATAGTTTAGATAATTCTTTATTATTTTATTTTATTTTGCATAATTGATTAACAAATAAAAATTATATAGATATGTTTTGCAATGTAATAATTAGATTGATTTATAATGCAATGATTACCAGTATCAAATTATTAACACATATTATCACCCATGGTGTGTGTATGTGGGAGGGCCTTGAATACTTAAAGTCAGTTCTCTTATCAAATTTCAAATAAGTAATACAGTATTTTTGTTGTTGATTTGGGAGTTTTTGTTTTGTTTTGGAGACATGATCTTGCTCTGTTGCCCAGCCTGGAATGCTATGGCATAATCATAGCTCACTGCAGCCTGAAACGGTTAGGTTGAAGTGCTTTTCCTGACTTGAAGTGATTCTCTCACCTCAGTATCTGGAGTAGTTATAACTACGGGAAAATGTCATCATGTCTGGATAGTTTTCATTTTTATTTTTATTTTGTAGAGACAGAGTCTTACTATGTTTCCTAGACTAGTTTCAAACCCTTGCCCCAAGTAATCCCTCTGCCTTAGCCTCCAAAAGAACAGGGCTTATTGGCATGAGTCACCACACTCAGCCTAATACAGTATTGTTAACTACAGATGCCATGTTGTACATTATATTCCAAGACCATATTCATCTTATAATTGAAAGTTTGTAACCTTTCACAAAAGCAGCAGTGGTAGGTTCTACAATGCAAAGATCTTAATATGATAATTGATGGTATGAATTTTTTAGAATAACATATAATTATTGTACATTAAACATGATACTTCATTTTTACATCATTTGGCATTTTAGCTTTACTTAAGTCTATAAGGTGTTTTTACAGGCTGGTTTGGAAACGGTTTTTAAAAAGAATCCCAGAACCACTGTAGAACATTCTACTTGAAAATCTGCACATATATTAAGATTTGTACATTACTTAATATTACTTTTTTCTACTTTCAGCTCCGTGTGTAATATCAGAAGAAATTATGAGACAATACAACATAACACTTAGGTGGCAAAGACATCAAAGAGTTTATTCCAGAACTGGTGAAGAGATTGAGTTTTTGTGTAAAGATGGATATAATCCACAAACAACAAAAATCTCATTTCGAGCATTGTGTCAGAATGGGAAACTTGTGTATCCCAGCTGTAAAAAAAACAAGAGTAGTTGAGAATAGTTCAACTCTTCAGACGTACACAGTTTTTCAGAGTTTCCATTATTAATATAGTTCTCAATTTTATTTGTCAGCTCTCATTTAAATAATTTTTATTGTTAAATGAAAATTTGTGTTGATTTGTGAAAATGTAATCGTTGCCTGACACCAATGTTTCACTTCTTAAATCACCGTATTCAAACCTGGCAAACCAATATGCTATGTGTCCAATTTATAAAATATTTAAGGCAATAAATTAGTTGCAATTTTTTCAGAGCCTATTTCTATCTATCACACTCCTAAATCTCTTAAAAATGTCTATATTGCTTCTGAAGCTCTCTGTTTCATATTACATGGGAAAATATTGTGATCTCAATCTTTGAAATTATGTTACTTAACCAACATGACCAAACTAAGTCATAGTTTATGTTAGTAATAGGTAGCTACTACTTATTGTTGTTAAATAAATGCAAAAATGACCTTATAATTTTCTACAGGATGTCAATCTAGCACAAAATGCAAATTCATCATAAAAATTTAGTTTACCAATCATAAAATTTACTCAGGTCTATAACTATCACCACATAAACATGAAGTTATAAAAATTCAATATCAGTCATAACACATCTACAAGCATGCATACACACACATGTAGTACTTTGTGCTCTGAATTAATGTTTATAAAAAATATTGGCAGAGAGCCCAATAAAATAGATAAAATTCTATATTTGTGTTTAGTAAGAACATAGTTAAATGAGGATAAAATTTAATAAGGTCCTTTGTTTAATAAGGGCAAAGTTGTCTAACTCTTTTATACATATTGATATACTCTAATATTTCTACATTAAACATGTATTAGTTTTGAACCACAATAATATTTGACTTTAAAATAAAGATGTTTCAAATTCAAGAGAATACATGTTGAGAACTATAAATACCTAACTGGTCATGGACTTAAGGTTAAATAATATTTTCACTGTTTTTGGTATAGAAGAGTTTTGAAAATTTCGATAATAAGATTGTGAAATATAATTTCTATATTCATTCATTTCAACCAGTATTAGATAAATCACTTTTGAATAGAAACATTTTTAACTTCTAAAAGAGGTAAAATAAAAACTCTATGTAAAAAAAAGATATGACTAGCAAGATAAAATTTTTGTCATACTATTTTATAACTTCGTATTGTATAAAATCTGCTGGCTTATATACTAGGGCCATCCTCTTGTTGGTGATCCTGATTTAGTTAAATTGGTTGAGTTGGGCAAATCCAGATATCTCAAACTTTAAGGACATTCACTATAATTAGCAAGTTATCTTCGTAGCAGTGTTAACACTTATGAAGATACTTGTATGAGCATGCTTGGATCACTATAATAAATTACTGTAAATTAAATGACTATAAAAACAAATTTAATTTATATAGTTCTAGAGGCTGAGATGTCCAAAATTAGCATACAAGCTGATTTGATATCTGGTGATGTTTCCCTCTGTGTTTCATAGATAGTGCCTTCCCAATGTGGAAAGGGCAAGGAAGTTCTATGAGGTTTCTTTGTAAGGGAACTAACCCAATTCAGAAGGGATGGACTGTTCATGGGCGGATGACGTACAGGCCTCATTTTCTGATACCATCACCATATTGATTAGGATACAATATATGAATTTTGGAGGGACACTAACATTCAAACTTAGCATAGCATAGGGATGGAAAAAGATACTCCACACAAGTAAATAACAAAAGAAAGTAAGGGTAGCTATACTTATATCACACAAAATAGAATTTAAATTAAACCCATAAAAAGACACAAAGAAAGTCATTGTATAATGATAAAGGAATCGCATCATAAAGAGGATATAACAATTGTAAATATATATACACTCAACATGGGAGCAACTACATACAAAGCTAATATTAGTAGATCTAAAGGTAGAAACAGAGAACTACACAATAATATTAGGGAACTTCAATACCACATTTTTAATGATGAATATATCATCTGGACAGAAATTAATAAGCAAACATTGGGCTTGAATTATATTTTAGAATAAATGGACCTAACAGATCTAAACTGAGTATTCCAACCAACACTAGTAGAATACAAATTCTTCTCTTCTCAAACACATGAGGAACACTTTTCTATTCACCAGGAGAGATTACGTGTTAGGTCACAAAACAAGTCTTTAAGATTTTTAAAAAGAATTTAATGCACTTTTTCTAACACAAAGGTATGTAGCTAGAAATCACTAATAGGAAAAATTTGGAAAAATTTACAAATATATGAAAATTAAACAACATGCTTCTGAACAAAAAATAGGTCAATAAGAAAGTTTAAGAGAAAATTAAAAATATCTTGAGACAAACAAAAATGGAAAAATAGTATACTAAAAATACTAAAACTTATAGGATGTAGCAAAAACTGTTCTAAGAAGGAAGATCATTGATTAGAATGCCTATATGAAGAAAAAATATATTAGGCAAAAAACCCCTTTTTATCTCAAGAAACTAAAAATGAAGAAAAACCTTAACCCAAAGATAGTAGAAGGAAAAAATATCATGGTTCAAAGCAAAAAACCTGAATTAAGGACTGGACAGTAATAATGAATATCAAGATAATAAGATTTTACTTTTGAAAAAAAGAAAACTGAAAAATCTTTAGCTAGACTAAAGAAAAAAAGAAAGACATAAGGAAAACTCAAACAAATAATGTTAGAAATGAAATAGTAGACATTAGACTTACAGCACAGAAATATAAAGGAATATGAGACCACTTCTTGGAAATAAAGCTATAGACCTATAACTATCTCATCATTGGCAAAGCCAATAAAAACAAACTTAGGGGAAAGGCAACCTTATTTAGCAAATGGTACTTGGAAAATTGGCTAACCACATGCAGAAGAAGAATAAACTGAATTCCTGCATCTCACCATATAAAAAAATTAACTCAAAAAAGATGAAGGACACAATGTGAAATCTTATACTATAAAACTCTTAGAAAAATCCCAGGGAATTTATGTCCAAATTATATGAGCTTACAAAGAAAAAATCTTTTGCACAGCAAAGAAAAAAATTGGGTAAAGAGACAACGCACAGAATGAAAGAAAATATTTGCAATTATGCATCCAACAAAGGCCTAACATCCAGAATCTATAAGGAAACCAAGCAAATCAACAGGAAAAAAACATCCACTTAAAAAACATTTGATACATCAATAAATAGACTACTCAAAGAAAAACATACAAGCAGCCAACAAGTATATGAAAAAAATGCTCAGCATCACTAATAGTCAGTGCAAATCTAAACCACAATGAGATACCAACTGACACCAGTGTGGTATTATTAAAAAGTCAAAAAACAGCATGTGTTGGTGAAGCTGTGGAGAAAAAAAGAACACTTCTATACTGCTGATAGTCAAGTAAGTTAGTTCAACCTGTGTGAAAAGCAGTTTAGAGATTTCTGAAACACCTAAAAATAGAGCTACCATTTAACACAGAAATCTCACTCCCCTGTTGGAAACAGCTATACAATAATAGTAGGGTCTTCAATACTACATTTTTAATGATGAATAGAGCATCTGGACAGAAATCAATAAGCAAACATTGGACTTGCATTATATGTAAGAATAAATGGAACTAACACACCTATACTGAGTATTCCAACACTTTTAGGATACAAATTATTCTCTTCTCAAACATGAGGAACACTTTCCTATTCACCAGGATAGGTTATGTGTTAGGTCACAAAACAAGTCTTTAGGATTTTTTTGAAAGATTAAAAACATATCAAGTATCTTTTTGTAACACACTGGCATATAACTAGAAATTACTAATAAGAAACATTTTGAAAAATTTACAAATACATGAAAATTAAACAATATATTTCTGAACAAGCTATAGGTCAAAAAGAAAATTAAAAAGAAAACGTAAAAATATCCCGAGACTAACAAAAATGGGAAAACAACTTACTAAAACTTATAGGATGTTGCAAAAATAGTTCTAAGAGGGAAGATCATCAATGTGAATGCCTATATGAACAACAACAACAACAACAACAACAAACTTAGGCCAAAAAAAGCAAACTTCTTATCTCAAGAAACTAAAAATGAAGAAAAACCTTAACATAAAGATAGTAGCAGGTAAAAATATCACTGTTCAAATCAAAAACCCTGAGTTAGAGACAGGACAATAATAATGAGTCAAGAAAACTGAGATTGACTTTTGAAAAAAAGAAAATTGACAAACCTTTAGCTAGATTAATGAAAAAAAGAAAGACATAAGGAAGACTCAAATAAATAAAGTTAGAAATAAAATAGTATCCATTAGACTTAAAGCACAGGAATATAAAGGATTATGAGACCACTTCTTGGAAATAAAACCATAGACTATAACTAACTCATCTTTGACAAAGTCAATAAAAACCAAGTTGGAGAAAGGAAACTTTATTTAGCAAATTATACTTGGAAAACTGGCTAACCACATGCAGAAGAAGAATCAAACTGGACCCCTACATATCACCATATAAAAAATTAACTCAAAAAGGATCAAGGACTTAATGTGAAACCTCACACTATAAAAATCTTAGAAAAAGAACTAGAAAATGTATGGTCAAATTAGATGAGCTTATCAAGAATAAATAAATTTTCTGCACAGCAAAAAAAAAAAAGCAAATGAAAAGACAATCTACAGAATGGAAGAAAATATTTGAAGCTATGCATCCAACAGAGGCCTAACATCCACAATCTATAAGAAATTCAAAAAAATTAGCAGGAAGAAAACAACCACTTCAAAAAACGTTCAAAAAATAAATAAACCAACTACTCTAAGAATGACACACAAGTAGTCAACAAGTATATGAAAAATAAAATGCTCAGCATCACTAATCATCAATGTAAATCAAAACCACAATGAGGTATCTCAGACCAGTCTGGGTGTGTATTACTAAAAAAAAATAAAAAAACAACAGGTTGGTGGGGCTGTGGAGAAAAAAGAACACTTCTA